CTCTCTCTCCCTTCTCTCCCTCTCTCCAGTACCATGTTTTTCAAAAATCACAGTAGCTTTCTAGCATAATTTCAGGTCTGGGACTGTGATGATCCCTGACTTGCCTTTGTTGCTATAATTGCTTCTGACATTCTAGATCTCTTCTGGTTCCAAATGACATTTAGGAATGTTTTCTTTAGATCTCTGTGGTATGTTAATGGTATTTGTTTAGGACCATGTTAAATATGTACAGCAGCTTTGGAAATGTGGCCATTTTCACTGCATTGATTCTTCCTATTCAAGAGCAAATGATACCTTTCCATTTCCTGTCATGCTCTTCAATCTTCTTTTTTTAGATTACTGTAAATTTCACTGTACATATCTTTTATAGCCTTTTTATTTATTTTTATTTTTATTTTTTTTGCAGAACTGGGGATTGAACTCAGGCCCTTGCGCTTGCCAGGGAAGTGCTTATTCCACTGAGCCATCTCCCCAGCCTTACAGCCTTTTTTAGATTGATTCCTAAGTCCAATTAATACGGACATGGCATTGATTTAGAAATTAGAATCAAAGGTCCAGCACATTATATCTTTAGTCTTTTCTGTCTTTTGTATTCTTTAGGTTGCATCATGCATGTAGTCAGGCATTTGGCATTTGAAACAGGTAGTGAGTGGTCACTTTTTATTTCTATCATGTTCAGGGTAAATATGGGAAGGTAAAAGGAGAAGGGGGCAGACGGTTTCAACCTGGCTGGTCCTGTGTCAAGATGGCTCTGGTCTCACTCGCTTGGACCCTCCAGTATAGCTTCTCTAGCAGGCAGGGCATTGGGTGTCTCTGCCTGCTGCATCTCCTCAGCCCCTAGTACCCACCTGTCTCTCCCCCTAGAGTGCTACTGATCTTTCATCCTTTCAGGTGCTTTTTCAGGCTGGCTATGTCTCTCAGATAGCCCATGTTGGGGCCATGTGAAGCTCCCATATGTCCTTTCTGTATCTTGCAGCACCAGCCACCCAAAAGTAGCTGGGTCACCAAGCTCCCAAACAGAAGCTGCTCATCTTCTCTTGTCCTCCAGATCCCTTGACCAGGATTCAGGCCATGTCTCCCAAATTCTTGGGCAAACATGCCACTTTCTGGGTATTAGCTGTGGAGTGCCTGTCTATAGAAGAGCACACCCCTTTCCTCAAGGGACCTTCAGTCTCACAGGTTTCCATGGCTCTTCTGGCAGTCCCCTCAGAAAATCCTTCCCCAACCTCCTTTGTCCACTTCCCAGTGTTTGGGGAGTGGTCTAGAGTCCCACAATTGCTGCTCAGATCTCTCCTTTACTGTTTCTTCAATAATTGTTCACATATTCTCCTGGCTACATTCCATCATTTCTGTTGGCATCAGTCAAAACTCCTGGTATTGATCACATGATGAATTCATTTACCTAATTAACAAACATTGTGGTTGTTCTTTTTACTTTTTGTTGTATGAACACCTCTGCTGTGAATAGTCTTTGAATATCTTAGTACATAACTGCCACTATTTCCTTTGACTGACTTCTACTCATTTTATTTTTTTTTTCAGAACTGGGGATTGAGCTCAGGCCCTTGTGCTTGCCAGGCAAGCTCTTATTCTACTGAACCATCTCCCTGGCCCTAGAATTTTTTTTTGTCTACTCAATTTTTGATCATTTGTTCTCTTATCCTACTTAGAGATTTAAGAATGGCTCAACAGAAGTGTGGCTGTGTGTGTGTGTGTGTGTGTGTGTGTGTGTGCGCATGTGTGCACATGTGCACATGCGTGGGCAGATCAGGTAGGTGGGTTGATAATAGAGAGAACTGAAGGTCTGAAGTAGATCAGAAAGCAGGAGTGGCTAAGCAGCATACAAGCCTAGGCAACCTTTTGCTCCATCTTGTAGATTCCTGCACTGGCAGTGCATATGGCCAATGCTGGGTGACTGGGAAGGAGTTTCTGTGTCATCAGCAGAACCAGGACACTCTTTGATACAAGTAGGGAAGTAGAGGCTGTAAGGCTGTCAGTGATGGTCCAGCCTGAGACTCAGGATGCCTCTGGCCCTGGACAGCTGGTGATACAATTTCACAAAATCAGAAACTTTTAATTTTATCATGTGATTTCTAGTGATGTTTTGTATGAGTCATGTGTGTGGTACTGAAGTGTGAACTACATAGGCAATAATGGGATGCTGTGTAGGGAGGGCATTGTGTAGGGCTCACTCCACCTCCTAGGCCCCCCACATGCACACAGGCCACGGAAACCCACATGGAACAGATGTCACATGCATCTGAGCAACTTGGCAAGTAAAACATAGTGATTACTGGTAATAATACTTCAACCTAGCTACACATGTGTGCCTGTGAAAAATAGGTACTTGTTTTTAAAAAGACATGTAACTTTTCTTATTTAGTTCTTAAACTTGGGCTGTTCTTTTGTAAAATAATTTAGTAAATTAAAATATACAAAAAAGCATGTCTTGTTATTTGACTACCTTGACCATATCATATATTTTGTATACACACACAGCAATACCTCCTCACTCAGTTTGGCCCTGAGAAGCACAAAGTTCAGGTAGCCATGCTATAAAAGTTCCACAAATAGCTAGGTTGAAGTATTATTATCAGTAATCACTATGTTTTACTTGCCAATTTGCTCAGATGCATGTGACA